ACTCCTTTGGTCACCACTACTGGGAATGCACTGGTTCAGACTGGAAGCCAGCACAGCACCAGGTCTCACCCAAGGCCCCATGTAACCACTTCCTATTATCTATGTTTGCTCAAGGCCCTGGAGCTCTACAATCAGCAGACTATGAAGCCAGCCAGGTTTGTCTCCTTTCCTTGAGGGGTATGAGTTTCCTAGGTCCCAGGCAGATCCAGAGATGCTCTCCCAGAGCCAGGGACGGGAGTTAGAAGCCTTAGAAATCTGCATGGTGTTCTATTCTACTGTGGCTGTGCTGGCACTCAAAGCACATGGCACAGTCCTTCTCACTCTCCCCTTCCCCTTTCTATGTGCAGAGGAGCTTCACCCCATGGCCACCACCACTACAGGGAATACTCTCAAGCTACCACTGATGCTCAATTAAGGCCCAACGACTCCTCCTTCAGCTTGGTGAATACCACCAGGCCTGGAACTCACCCCTCAGGGTTGTGGGCTCCCTTCTGGACCACGGAAGGTCCAGAAATGCTATCCAAGAGCTAAGGCACAGAATCAGGGATCCCAAGATCTCACTTGGTCCTCTACACCACTGTGGCTGAGCTGGTACCTGATTTTTGGTTCCTATGAAGGTAATCCCTTTGTGTAGATAGTTGTAAAACTTGGTCTTCCTCAAAGGATAAATGTTTGAGGGGAAGGATACCACATTTTCCATGATGTGGTTATTATGAATTGCATGCCTATATCAAAACATTTCATGTACCCCATAAATATATATACCTACTGTATACCCACAAAAATTAAATATGTAACTTTTTTTAAACCTGGTGTTCCTAGGGAGGGGCATGATCGATGGGGCCCTTATTCACCCATTTTGTACTGCCCTCTTCCATCAATAAAAATTTAACAAGGATTTATTAGCTATGTTATGAGCCCTTTTAAAATTCATCAGGCCAAATTAGCACTATCTACAGAGTTTGTATCAATCATTTCATGCTGGTCATTAGAAAAATATATAAATGCTCATATACTTCACCTGACTGAAATGTTTTCTCACCCAAGCTTCTATTGGATGATAATACTGACACCAGTGCTTTTTCCCTAGGAAAGCACTCCCTGGTCAACAGTTTGCTTTGAACCCATTTAAGAACTTCCTAGGTCAGGGGCAAGTGAAAAAAAAAATGAATTCTTTTCCTCCAGAGTTTTCTTTACCAAGAAGCAGCCAATGACGCTGTTGGCTGCCAGCTACTAGATAGCCCCATTTTAGTTTCAGGAAATGCTGCCAAGTTGTACTGTAATTCTCCAAAAAATAGGCTGTTGTCCCCACCCCTTCCCTGTCCACCCTGGAAAGGTTCTGTGAGGATACTTTCTTGGTCCTGGCAGGTCAGGCAGGTGCTGGTTCTCCTCTATTTTCTACTACCCATAGCTAACCCTTGTCTGACACTTCTGTCCCAAGATCACTAAAGCCTAAGTCCAATATGGGGCATGAACTAGATTCATTCTTTGTCCCCTACCCAACCTACTTCTGCCCCACATCAGAAAAACCCTGAGAGCGTCACAGGACACTCTGATGATGCCAATATTCCTGCCACTGTTAACTTTACTTAAATCGTCCAAAAAATATGGGGCTACAAGATGAAAGAGCCATCTCGTTGGCTTCTCATAACAAAATAAATAAGGCCAAGAGTGAAATTTTGTTTTCTTTCTGTTTAATTGCAGTACCATTATTCAAATAATATTGTCCTTTATTTGTTTCTCCTACCAAAATAATATACTCTAACTATTCAAAGTTTAAATCAATTTAATAAGCTGGCCTAGGAATCCAGCTCATATTTGTATTCCTCCTGTGGGTATAAAAGTATTCAACAATTGCTTATACAATCAGCTGTGATCAAAGCATTGTCCTCGGTAAACCTAATTATCCTAACTTTGCAAATAACTTTTATAAACTTTTGGAACCCAACCCACTTTCAAGAGAAGGACTTCCTGTACTGAATGCTATAAATAAATGAAGCCAGAAAAGTTTAACAGATTGTGGAATGGGCAAACATTAACAGATGAAAACATAATCAGTATTAAGCCAATTCTCCTTTAAGCATTATAAATATATGTATAGCTAGCAGTGCTAAAACAAAACACCTGTCAATTATTCACAAATGTTTCCAATCCTAAAAAAAAATTCCACAATAAACAGATGCTACACACTAAGATTCACAGACAGGTTCTCAACCTCATTCAATCTAATTTTTCTAAGAGTGTCTTCGAAAAATTACTCCTTACACGTATGTATCTGCCACTATAATTAATAGTTCTCTCTTATTTTTTCTATTTTAGGTTTGGCAATAGAAATTTCATTACCAGATAAGCCCATTTTGATTCTGATACAACCAGTGTAATTACTACATCCACAATAAGGTGGTTATTAGGGGTCAGGATGATGAATCCTAAGCTTGTACTTGCTGAAAAGTTAATCTCTGCAAGGAGAGCTAACCTAATGCTCAGAGAAACACATTAAACTCCTGCATGTATCTATTTTGGAGGTTTCGGCTGTTTTGTTTTTTTTTTCTTGAGTCAGACATTTTTGTAATCCTAAAATACAGCAATACTGTCTGATATCCCATAACTATATATGTAATAGTAGTAGCAATTTTTTTAAAAAGAAATAACACTGACATAACTGAGACAAACACTCTATGCTTTCCTCTCCTCTCTGTGGGTTCTGCTGCCTCCATTTCCCAGGAGATAGTTATCTGATCTGGCAGGCAGATATAGATGCCTGTCAAAAGGATCCAGGTTTGTTACATATAATTCCCAAAACTTAAATGATAGGCTTTGTAAATTAACTTACTCATAATTCAAATGACATAACATCTTCCTGAGATACCATATAACCTTGAACTATAAAGAAATATATTTGAATCTATTTTAAAATGTCTATAATATTAATTTAAAAATTAAATGTGAAGAGATATACAGGTACATAATTGAAATTCAATCTGAAGCAAAGCCCAAATTTGATTTCTCACAATAGAGAAAGGGATTCCAAAAGAAGCAAGATTTCTCCTGATAGGCAGGAATCCTATCACTTTTGCTTTACATCACTTTTGCTTTGCCCAAGACTGTAATATCCTAAGGGATATTACAGTCTTGGGCAAATAGTAGATGCTCAATAACGCAAAATTTAAAGGAACTCATTAGTTATTCCTCTAAACATACCTTTGTGATGTTTGGTTTTGTCTGGTTTGGTTTTTCTTTTTCTTTTGGATGTGGTAGTTAAGGGGGTCAGGAGGAAAGAAGAGGGAAGACGATAGGTAAACTGGAAAAGACCTTCAGGGCAGAAGTAAGCCAATGATGAAAAAACCCAGTGAATAATTTAGAAATGAACGATTCTAAGACTGAATTGAAAGGACAAGATTCATGGGGAATTGCCATAGCCAGACCTAATCTTGACAATGTTTGCTCCCATTTGGTAGGCATAAGAACAAAGAACAGATAACGGCCCTCGTGAAAATCCTAAGCCATACCCCCTGTTGTGGTTCACTTTTCCCTAACCAGAGAAAATGTAATTTTCTACTTTGTCTTCTTTAGAAGAATGAAGTGAACACATCTTTCACACTGCTTGTCTTTGTTTTTTTTGGTTTGTTTTTTTTTTGAGACAGAGTTTCATTCTTGTTGCCCAGGCTGGAGTGCAATGGCACGATCTTGGCTCACCGCAACTCCGCCTCCTGGGTTCAAGCGATTCTCCTGCCTCGGCCTCTCGAGTAGCTGGGACTACAGGTGTGTGCCACCATGCCCAGCTAATTTTTGTATTTTTTTTAGTAGAGACGGGGTTTCACCATGTTGGCCAGTGTGGTCTCGATCTCTTGACCTCATGATCTGCCCACCACAGCCCCCCAAAGTGTTGGGATTACAGGTGTGAGCCACCGTGCCCAGCCTACACTGTTTTTCTTTGAAAGCTCAGAACTATTTGTTGATTTGCATATAATAATTATTTACTTAATTAACAAGCCCTCAGCTAGATTGTTCTTTCAACACTTAACAAGCAGAAAATTATATAATAAGATTCCTCTTCAAAGGAAAAGAAATAGGTTCTGTCACTTACACTAGGACATACTGAACACAATTTTCTGCATGGCTTCTGCAGTGAGATTTCACCTGGTTCCATAACAAGCAAGGAGAAATTCCTCTGACATAAGAGCTCAGAGAAACTGAGACATCTCAGATCATTTATCACTGAAAATCTAGAAATTTTAAAAGTTTATCCTTAAAACCAGTATCTCTAGTAAAATTCTTAAAAGTAACCAAAAAAACATAGAAACGCTGTACATTCTCCACAGAGATTGAAGTTAACCTTAAAATAGAATAAGTATGGTAATTAGGGTTACAAATACTTTAATAGGTTAACAGAAATACATATAAATTTAATGCCTATGGTACCTTAAGAGCTTTTCCTTGTAATTCAAGAACTAAAAATCCAAAACCAACCAATTAATCAATGAATAAAGTGAATTTTTGAAGCTAGTTTAGTGAAATATATCAAGTTCTAAATGCAAAAGACCTTCTTTTACTCTGGTCACAGAATGATTCATGTCAAACGGATAAAGGAAATGTATGGAGTAAGTAAATGAGCTGAAAGACAAAATGTACCATTCTTTCAGGGCAGCAGATGAAGAATCTAGCCCACAGCCCACTCACCAGATGTCCGACTTTGTGTCATAGCCTTGGTGTTTCAGAGCCTCAGGACTCATATAATGGGGAGTTCCAGTTAAAGTTGTGGCCAGGTCACAGGATCCCATTAGGAGTCGAGAAACTCCAAAATCTCCTTGAAATAATAATTAATTCTTATGAATACTTTAAGCCAACAAAAAATTAGCCCTGGAAATTAACAACTGAATGAGTGCCTAAAGTGACCATTTTATTATGCAATGGTTTATACCATTTTAACAGGAAAGAAAAGTAATACATCTTAAATTATACAATGCTGGTAAATACCTTTAAAACATAAGTTTTACAGGAGAAGGAAGACTTGAGCCAGAAAAGTGAATTATGTAAGCTAAAATTCTTTATTTCTGGAATTACGGGAAACTAGAAAACTTGATATAAAATCTGTTTCAAGTCTGAATAATGGCAAACAGAATAATTCTGGAAAAACTGAATAAGATGATATACAATTTCACCTGAGGGGAGAAGAATTTGTTCTTAAATTTACAATAAAGGAGAGTTTAAAAGAAAAGATCCGAGACTATTCAAGAACACGACTATAAAAATTTGAATCCGCTTCTTTACACCTGCCTAACTAGTTGCATGCTTTTATTCCTTTATTCCTTCCTTCCCCAAGAACACCCCACCATGATTAGACGATCTAGTAGCTGTTATAAGGAGAGGTACAGTTCTGAAGAACTAAAGGTTAATAAAGCCATTATATCAACATTTTAATTATCTATGATAACTCCTTATTGCTTGTGATGAAATAATATAAATAAGAAACCTGTAATAATTAATCAAACCAGTAAATGATTCTTAAAACCTTGTCAAGTACCTGGCATGATGCAGGGAACTCAACATATACTTGAAAAGCTATCAAATATGTAGTAAATTTGTATATTTCAATTTATATCAGATATTGAGAAACAAAATAATTAGGTTTTGTTGGGCCCATCAGGTAAGAAACCTGAGAATTTAGTGTTTGTTTCAGCAGCATGCATACTTAAAATATTGAGGAATTTAAATAAACCAGTGATTACTCTAACACTTCTGTGTACCATTTACTTCAATTTGAGATGACAAAATCTAAAATATACACATTTTTAAAAATCTTACCAATTTTAAGTAGATTATTTTTCAGAAATACATTCTTTGATTTTAAGTCTCGATGAAGTATCCTCCTACAAAAGGGAAAAAAGATAGACAACTTCATGCAGAATATAACATTTTAAATCTGCATGTAAATAACATTGTTGCATATAATTTACACATAAATATATACACCCATAGATATATCTTTCAATGTTTAACAGCTACAAAGTCACAACACTTTCCAGTTTCCCTGAGGAAACAGAAGTTTTAAAATAAAGATTTTAAAGGGCTGGGAACATGTAGTTAGAAGAAGGGTGATATGCTTTCAATTATTTTAATAGGCCATATTTTATTATGTTTTTGTAAAATAATCTACACAGTGTTATATCCAGTAACCATTTCCTCAATAGATAGACCAGTTTGTAATCTATTATACCCAAATGTCCAAGTTTTGTATACTTGTGAAAATAATAATGTTGTTGATAATATTTAAGAATAGGTAACATTGGCTGGGCGTGGTGGTTCATGCCTGTAATCCCAGCACTTTGGGAGGCCATGGCGGGTGGATCAAGAGGTCAAGAGCTCAAGACCAACCTGGCCAAGATGGTGAAACCCCATCTCTACTAAAAAAAAAAAGTAAATTAGTTGGGCATGGAGGCTGAGGCAGGAGAATAGCTTGAACCTGGAGGCAGATGTTGCAGTGAGCCAAGATTGTGCCACTGCACTCCAGCCTGGGTACAGAGTGAGACTCATCTCAAAAAAAAAAAAAAAAAAAAAAAGTAACATTTATTAAATCTTACTATAAGCCAGTAATGTAAATTATATCAGTTAAGACCTTTATTTTATGGAATTACGAAGAACTAGAAAACTTGAAAATCTTTACATAAAAAACTAAGATGCTAAATAAAGTATACAAATAATAATCTTCACATATGCACAGTTAAGCTCACATAAAAATGAGAAAAATTCCCTGGGAATTATTCAAAAAGAAAGTTAAAATAATTCTAGGCTATAAAATACACCTCAACAAATTTGAAAGAAGAGAAACCTTCTGCTCTCATATCAAAATGAAATCACATTAGAAATTAATAACAGAAAGATAACTGGAAAATCCATCCCATAATATGTGAATATAAAGCTATATACTTCTCAATAACAAAAAAGAAATCTCAAGAGAAATTTTAAAATATTTTGAACTGAATGAAAATAAAAACACACTTTAACAAAATTTGTACAATATTAGCAAAAGCAGTGCTTACAGGGAAATTTATGGCACTGAATGTATATGTTAGAAAAAAAGAAAGAACTAAAATCAGTTATCTAAGCTTCCATCATAGAAAACTAGAAAAGAAAACAAATCCAAAGTAAGGAGAAATAGTACAGCGGAAATAATAAAATTGAAAACAAGAAACCAATTGAGAATATCAATAAAAACAAAATATGGATCTTCAAAAAGATCAATAAAATCAACAAGTCTCTAGCCTGGCTAACTAAAATAAAAAGATAGAAGACAAAAACTATTAAAGTCAAAAATGAAAGAAAGGACATCACTACAGATTCTGTGGACATTGAAAGAATAAAAAAGCAACAGTATGAACAATCTATAATAACAAATTTGATAACCTAGATTAAAAGAACCAATTCCTTCAAAGTCACAAGCTACAAAAAAACCACACAAGAAGAAATAGGCAATCAGAATAGGCCCATATTCATTAAATAAATTGAATCCATAATTAATACATTTCCAAATAAAAAAACACCAGGCCCAGATGGGTTCACTGGTGAATTCCGCCAAATACTGAAGGAAGAAATTACACCAAATATTTATAATCTATTTCAGAAAATAGAAGCAGAGGAAATACTTTCTAACTCATTTTAAGATTTCAGCATCATCCTAATGTTAAAGCCAAACAAAAACATTAGATGCAAAAATCCTCAATAAAATATTAGCAAATCAAATCCAACATTGTAGGCCAGGCACAGTGGCTCATTCCTGTGGTCTAAGCACTTTGAAAGCCTGAGGTGGGCAAATCACCTGATGTCAGGAGTTCAAGAACAGCCTGGAGAACATGGCAAAACCCTGTCTCTACTAAAAATACAAAAATTAGCTGGGCATGGGGCACATGCCTATAATCCCAGCTACTAGGGAGGCTGAGGCAGGGGAATTGCTTGAACCTGGGAGACAGAGGTAACAGTGAGCCAAGATCACCCCACTGCATTCCAGCCTGGATGACAGAGCGAGATGCAGTTTCAAAAAAAAAAAAAAAAAATCCAACATTGTGTCAAGAGAATTATATACCACAACCAAGTGGGATTTATACTAGGTATGCAAGGCTGGTTCAACATTTGAAAGTCAATTGATGTAATCCATCATATCAACAGACCAAAGAAGAAAAATCACATGAAAATGTCAATAGATGCAGAAAAAGCAATTGACAAAATCCAATACCCATTCATGATAATAACTTTGATAAACTAGAAATGGAGAGTATTTATCACAAACCTACAGTTAACATCACACTTTACGGTGAGAACTCTGAAGCTTTTCTGCTGAGATCAGAAACAAGGCAAAAATGTCCCCTCTAATCATTTCTTTTCCACATTATACTGAAAGTTCTAGCTAATTAATTAAAACAAGAAAAAAGTGTAAACAGTATAGAGAAATGCAAATCAAAACCACATTGAGATACTATCTCACACCAGTTAGAATGGCAATCATTAAAAAATCTGGAGACAACAGATGCTGGAGAGGATGTAGAGAAACAGGAACACTTTTACACTGTTGGTAGGAGTGTAAATTAGTTCAACCATTGTGGAAGACAGTGTGGCGATTCCTCAAGGACCTAGAAATAGAAACCCATTTGATCCAGCAATCCCATTACTGGGTATATATTCAAAGGATTATAAATCATTCTATTATAAAGACACATGCACATGTATGTTCACTGTGGCACTGTTTACAGCAGCAAAGACCTGGAACCAACCCAAATGCCCATCGATGATAGACTGGACAAGGAAAATGTGGCACATATACACCATGGAATACTATATAGCCATAAAAAATGATGAGTTCATGTCCTCTGTAGGGACATGGATGAATCTGGAAACCATCATTCTCAGCAAACTGACACAAGAACAGAAAATCAAACACCACATGTTCTCACTCATAGGTGGGTGTTGAACAATGAGAACACATGGACACAGGGAGGGGAGCATCACACACTGGGGTCTGTTGTAGAGGAAGAGGGGAGGGACAGTGGGGGGTAGGGAGGTTGGGGAGGGATAACAGGGAGAGAAATGCCAGATATAGGTGACAGGGGGATGGAGGCAGCAAACCACATTGCCATGTATGTACCTATGCAACAATGCCGCATGTTTTGCACGTGTACCCCAGACCCTAACGCGCAATAAAATATAAGAAAAAAAAAGAACAACAAAAAATATCATAGAGATGGGAAAAGAAAAAACATTCTCTCTGTTCACAGATGACATTATCACCTAAGTAGAAAATCCAAAAGAATCAATTAAGAAAACCTCCTAGAACTAACAAGCAATTATAGCAATATTACAGAACACAAGGTTGATATACAAAAATCAATTGCTTTCCTATATACCAGCAACTAACAAGTAGAATTTGAAATTTAAAACAAAATATATTTGCATTAGTACCCCAAAAATGAAACACTTAGGTATAAATCCAATAAAATATATACAAGATCTATATGAGGAAAACTACACAATTCTGATGAAAAAAAAATCATAAAACGAAATAAATGGAAAAATAATCCATCTTCATGGATAGACAGACTCAATATTGTCAAGACATGGATTCTTTCCAAATTCATCAATAGATACAATGCAACCCCAATCAAAATCCCAGGAAGTTATTTTGTGGACATTGGTAAACAGATTCTAAAATTTGTATGGAAAGGCAAAAGATCCATAATAGTAACACAATGTTGAAAAAGAACAATGATTTTGGAGGACTGATACTATCTGATGTCAAGACTTTCTATGAAGTACAATAATTAAGACAGTATGGTATTATGGAGGAAAAAAAGACAGATCGATAAAACAGAATAGAGAGCCCAGAAACAAAACTGCAGAAATACAGTCAACTGATCTTTGACAAAGAAGCAAAGGCCATGCAATGGAACAAAAACAGTCTTTTCAACAAATGGTGCTGGAACAACTGGGCATTCACATACAATGGATGAATCTAGACACAGACCCTACATCCTTTGCAAAAATGAATCACAGGCCTAAAAAATGTAAAATGTAAAACTGTAAAACTGCTATAAAATGATATGTAAGAAAGTCTAGATGATTTTGAGTTTGGTGATGACTTTTTAAATATAACACCAAAGGCACAATCCATGAAAGAACTGATGAGCTAGAATTTATTAAAATGAAAAATTTCTGCTCTGCAAGAAAACACTGTCAAAAAAGTTAAAAACTATGTCCACACAAAAACCTGTGCAATGAAGTTTATAGCAGCTTTATTCATAATTGTCAAAACTTGAAAGCAATAAAAATCTCCTTCAGTAGATAAATGATTAAATAAAATGCTTGAGCCACATTTCTATTAATATCGTCTCTTCCTCCTCACAATTTTTTACTCACAGTAGATGCTCAATAAATGCATGTTGGTTTTTAAAACATTATCCTTGGTACAAAGATGAATACTATCTAGTGGGACTCATTCATTAATCTTAAAGGCAATTACTAAGTGCCAACTAGATTCTATGTGCTATACTACATAATGTGAGAGAGATAAAAATTCATGAGACAGGGTTATGTATCTCATAATGCTTACACTCAGACTAGAGAGATTTTTTTTTAAGTACATAAGCAACTGTAAGAGATGGCAGAAGCGAAACCTAACCATTGTCACCTTACTAAGAAATTATTTATAATTGTAAACAATTACCAATAAAGACATTCACCTGGTCTTAAGGAAACATCTCTCTCAGTAAATGATCACTCTCAGATATATGCCCACCCAATTAATAATACTATTATTAATTAAAATCAGAAATATCAATTATAAAAATAATTTTTACCACTAGAATTAATGATAATACAAGTG